TTGCACTGGATTTTGTAATGGGCTGCATTTGATCTGCCAGCCGAGTTTTGCCCATTCGTGCTGTGTATATCCCTTTTGAGTAGGCTGCTCAGAAATTTTAATTAGAGCCTTTATGTCAGAAAGTTTTGAGTTGTGCTTACCTCATAGCAGAGTCAGCACTACAATTTTGCTGCCTAGTGCAATCTCTGTAGTTTCTAAATTCTACTGCACAATGCATTCCTGAATTCTTAAGGTTCTGTTGCCTCTAATTACCACCACCACGTGAGGCTGTGCCTCTTGTACAGGCTCTGGTGTTGGTCTTACAGAAGAGTGTCGGTTTGAATTAGTGCAGAGAACTTCAGAATTATAATTTATAATAGCAATACTTTGTTGCCTTCAGTTACAGAAGTTGATGTGCATTTGAGATCTGAATGTGTTTGTATCTTGAGGAAGCCAAGAATCTTAAATATTCTCACTAACATTAGGGAAAATAAAAGCCTTCCATCACGTACATTTATACTTGTTTTTTCAGTTCATATTTATGTGTTATAACATTACCTATCAGTTCTAATAAATTCATTCAGCTTTCTATATTTTTTGAACAAATAGTGTTTTTAACATATGCAAAGATAATTTTAATGTATATTGCTTGACATTGAAAATGCAACACCAAGATGGAGTGGTCAGAAATTTATGCAAATTTTAGAGTAGACGTGTGTCACTGAATTATGCGAATGATGTGAAATGTGCAGCTCTCCGACGCATATGAAGTAAGATATAAGGGAAGGAACATGCAGAATGGGCAGTATTCGTTTTGTTATTTCTGCCAGACGAATTGTCGAAGAAAGTTGGTTTTTGTCCCGGAGGATACGTGTAATAGGAGAGAATGCCAGGCCACCATCAATGAAGGCACTCCAGCAGATAGATGATTTTTCGAAGGGTATAGTGATCAGACTGAGAAGGGCGGGTTGGTCCTTGCATCAAATCGCAGCTGATATCCACATGGATGCGAGCACGGTGCATCGGCTATGGCGAACATGGTTAAAACAAGGATATGTGGGAAGACGGAGGGGTGCAGGTGCAGCACGTGTGGATCGACACATCTGCCGGCAAGCTGTGGCTATTCCCCAAGTCACTTGTACTGCTATTCTACAGCATGTGCAAGATACCCTGGATGTTCCCGTGTCGACCAGAACCATTTCCCGTCAATTGGTTGAATGTGGCCTGCACTCATGGCGTCTGTTAAGAAGACTGCCATTGACACTACAGCAAAGACGCAAATGTTCAGAATGGTGCCGAACTGGAGCGATATGGATGACAGAATGGCGAAATGTCATGTTCTCAGATGAGCCACGCTTCTGTTTATCCAGTGACAGTCACCGCATACGTGTGTGGCATCGACAGGAAGACAGATCTAATTCGGCTGTAACTGTGGAACGCCCTACCGCGCAACCACAACGTGGCATAATGGTTTGGGGCGCTATTGCCTGCGATTCCAGGTCATCTCTAGTTCGTATTCACGGCCCAACGATACTTGGATAATGTACTGCGGCCGGTGGCAATCCCCTATATTCAGGGGCTGCTTAATGCAATTTTTCAGCAGGATAACGCTCGACCACACAGTGCTCGCATCTGCCAACGTGCTCTGCAAGGTATACAGATGCTTCCCTGGCCACCGTACTCTCCTGACCTGTCACCAATCGAACATGTGTGGGATGAGATTGGACGCCGTTTTCAAACTCTGCCCCTGCCTCGTTCAGAAGATGAACTGTGGCAAATGGTTGAAAGGGAATGGAGAGCCATCCCTAAGGACACCATCCGCACTCTTATTGACTCTATGCCTACGCGTGTTTCTTTGTGGATCGCTGTCCGCAGTGGTCCTACATCCTACTGAGGCAACGTCGTTCTCGCTCTGTATTCTGACTATCATTTTGAAATAAAGATCACTTATTGCTGCTTGCTGTCTCTGTCTTTTTTCCAAATTTCATCACCTTTCTGACCACTCCTTCTTGGTGTTACATTTTCAATGTCGAGCAGTGTATGTAGGATCTCAGTTTTAATGAAGCAGTATAAATGTAGTATATAATTGTTATTCACATGACGACAATGCACTAGCATGCATTTTCAAACTCATCTCATTTTAATGAATGCAATAAATTTGTATTTTGATTATTATATGCACTTTCTTAATCTTTATTAAAAATGTAATTTAAATTCAAAATTTAGTATAAAAATTAAATGTATAAATATATTATTAAAATTTAATTTAAATTCAATTTAAAATTAAATAAATTTCTTTTTCTTTAAATTTTTTGGCAATTAAAATCATTAGATTTTTTGAATTGAAAGATTTGGGTAAGAAAAAATTATATTAATAAGTTATACCTGTAGTAAATCTAGAAGTAAATATTAAGGGGTCTGAGCATATTTTAACCAAAGTAAATGAGTCATCTTATGATATCTTACCATCAAAATATGATTTCATTTGTGGTGCAGATATCAATCATCAAATAACAAGTGCTTTGTCAAAGCTTAAACAGAGATAAAATTAAACTTTTATTTTAAAAAAAAAAAAAAAAAAAAAAAAAAAAAAAAAAAAAAAAAAAACTAACTAAAATTGTGAGTTTAGAAGTAGTTTTGTCAAGTATAAATTATGAAATGTCACTTTCTCTTAAATGTCAACTTTACAAATTTGAACTTTTAAAATGGTTGTCATGCTGTTCAAATTTATTCATAATGATTTATTTTCCAGGAAGCTTCTATGAACAAATGAATAGTTCGTTCATACAACTACATTCAGCATCTGATCTGCCAGCTAACTTTCTGACTCAAGATAAGAAAAGTGGCTCCTTTTTTTATAAATGTCCTATGTGTTCTTATACTGCGGCTTTTTATAGCATTCTTAAACGACATATTGTGACTCACACTGGCGAGCATCCACATAAGTGTTCCATTTGTCATACAAGTTTTACACGGAAAGAAAACCTGAAGAGACATATGGTCTCTCTTCATAAAACTGTATGTCTTTAAAAAGATACAGTCAAAAGTCTTTAATCCGGACTCGTCTGGACTTTGGCGATTCCGGATTATCGGTTTTTCCAGATTATAGATCATCAGTTTAAATCTGGTAAGATGGCATGCAGAAATTATAAAATTAAAAATAAGAAACCGTAATTTATGAAATAAAGAGCAATTATGATCTAAAGGGTATCAAAATTTATATAAAAAAAGCTTAATATTTATTTGTTTACTTTATTAAACATTTCTTTCAATGCGCGCATGCATAAAGCATACATTACGCATAGTCTAAATTAGAAAATTGCAACCAGTAAACTATTTGATGTGTATTCGTGATATTTATAATGACGAGGAAATTGATTTAAATCATATGAGTTCATTGAGATGAAACACTACATTTAGTAAGGAATTAAATGCCGAATAAAATAAAAACATCTGCGCTGAAGATCAGGATAGTGCTGACAGATCAACTTCCAGTTCATTGCGCACCGTGACGTCCCCCCCTCCCCCGCAGAGCAGCGTGAAATTGATAAATAGATTTTGGAATGGTTAGAGAAACAAATCATCTCTTTGTCACTTTCTTCATGCCTTTATCAATTTTTTGCAGCAATTCCACTTTTTGTTTAATGGACATCGAAACATGCTTTCACTTGTAGATCCTTTGGCAGCTTCAGAATCCGAAATTCTATTGACATAATTGAAAGTTCAAGTTTACGTTTATAAAATTGCTCTAACAGTCTGCAAAAAATAATAAGCCTCATCCAATTCGAAGATTAAGGAACAACGCAATATGCAACATTAACTGAAATAGATAATTAGGTAATTTTAGCTTAGCTTATATTGTCCGTTATACATTAAATGCGCATGCGTGAAGGTATTGAGCACATGCATAGAAAGTTTGTAGCTTTGAGGTCCGGATTATAGATCATTCTGGATTATGGACGTTCGGATTAAAGACTTTTGACTGTATTGTGTTTCTTTTTTTCATTTTGAAAATATTTTTTTACTTGATGGTTTTAATTCATCCAAAAAACCGAATTGTGTATATGTTAAAAAGTAAAATTATGTGTTATTTATTTTATCAAATTATACATTTTGTAGCTAGCTATTGTAAATCTTATTCTTTCCAGAGTTACCTTGAGAATGTTTTTTTGATTAGCTGTTACAAATATGCATATTTTTTCATACAAAACAATATTCAAATAATATATATTTAAAAAAAGCAATATATCAATTAAATTTTATGAAATTTGATATTATTGTTTCTTGAAAAATTACTTATGTATTAAAACTGTTAAAAAGATACACGAGAATCAGTTTAATGCATGCGAATTGACAGCAGTGTGTACGTAAACGTTAACTGAGCTTCAGTTTAATGTAGCATTTTGATAAGAATAATTTTGTGATAATAAAAGTTTTCAATATCTATCCACATATTCTAGTACATTTCATTTTAATAACAAGAATTAGTTAATATTTTTGTTCTTTTGTGCATTTTTTAAACTTTACCAAACTTTTGAAAATTGAAGACATTTTTCGTTTAGATTTTTAATTAGATATTTTGGTGTTATTTGAGTTGAATGGGGGGGGGGGGGGGGGAACTTGTATTTATGATTTTCATTATAGGTGAATCTTAAAGGAAATGTTATTGCTTGCCAGTAGGCTACTAACATGAAAGAAACCAATCTCTTTTGACGATTAATAATTAAATCTGAATTGCGTTTATGTTCGAAGTATGAATCATCAAATGACAGTTGTTTTTGTGCATCTACAAAGATGGAAAAAGAAATTACTGTTTTTTAAAAAAACTGTAAAATCAGTGAGTTTTGAAACATCTTAGCTTTGTCAAACAAATTCTAAAATGCCTTTCTCGTATTAGTTTAAATGCATTTTAGAGAATTTCTTTTTTCATAATTAAAATTTTAATTAAAATGAATTAAAAATATGTTTAATTTTTAAAATTTTATGCTGTTTAAATTTATTTAGTACGATTTATTTTTCAGGAACCTTTTCTGAAAGAATGAATAATATGCTTACACAAATGCATCCAGTATCCAATGTTTCAACCAACTTCGTAACTCGAGTAAAGGAAAATAATTCCTTTTTTGAACATTATCAGTGCCCCATGTGTTCCTATACTGCAGCCTTTTACAGCATTCTTAAACGACATATTTTGACTCATACTGGGGAACGCCCATATAAATGCTCCATTTGTCATAAAGGTTTCACACAGAAGGAAAACCTGAAGAGACACATGATTACTCTTCACAAAATTACATTATTATAGTTTTTTTAAATCATGAATAAGGTGAAGGAGAAAGTAGCATTTTATTTAATATTTTTGTTTTATCCAAAAAATTAGAATTGTGCATACAGTTGTACCCCCGTATCCGCTGTTTCTCACTAATATGCGGTTCAGAGTGACACAGAGACAAAATATCAGTTGGTTTTTATAAATTGTCAATTTCAAAATGCAAGAGAAGTGATAAAATTCATCACACTGGCAAAGATTGATTCTTCAAACACACACAGTTTCCATACATGTGCACTATCTTTTGGCACCAATGTAGCTAGATACAAAAAATGAAGATGTTTACTGCAGAATTTTATATGTATTTTTAGGTTAAAGAAAACCCCTCAAAATTTGATGGTTTGATTGAGTACCCTAACTTGAGAGTCATAAATATGTTTGTGAGGATTTTGGCTATCACTGGTTGCAGTATTATTTGACTCACCTTTTATTTCCATATACATAATTATTATTCAACTTTTTTTCTGCTCTTACTTATAGCATTCATCTCATTCTCATCAATAACACATTATTGCAACTTTCTTGCTTTTTAAAGTTTTATTTACTTTATTAAGAATTTATTTACATTCTTATTTTATATGGGCTTGAAAATATAACAGACATACTGCAAGTGTGTTGAAACTAGTATGCTATTGGTGCTAGAAAACTAAATATTCTTTTCTTCTACTGACTTTTGAAGCTGTATGTTATGCTATATACAACAGCATTTTTTTATTTTGCCCTGGTTTTTCACAGATTAAGTTAAAATATTAGAATTCTTTAATTTCATTGTACAAGAGCAATTATATTCCCATACACAATGTAATTCACATTATTTTGTTTAACAATATAATTTATAATGCATTTTTGAGCACAGAGTTATTATAACATTATTTTATGTTGGTAAAGTTTTACTTCCTTAGCTTATCAGATAAATTTAAACATTTTGTGTTACATGAATGCCTTGTTTTAAATAGTTTTCACTATTATCTGCAGTTTCATGTATATGCGGCTATGTTTTGAAACCTGCGGATACAGAGGCACTTCTGTACATTGAAAAGTTGGCTGTATTTCTTATTATGTTAAATTGTACATTATATATATATATGGGTGTGTGTGTGTGTGTGATAAATCTTAATTTTTAAAATTATATTGAGATTATTTTTTGAAGGATTAGTTCCTATAAATGTGAAGAACAGTTTTTCTTACCAAGTTGTGTAGTTTGTGTATTATATATTAGAAAAAATCAGGCATCAATTAAATTTTGAAAGTCGTATTGTAATATTTAATATTATTTTTACTTTGAAAATTACTTATATTTTTTATTTTCCTTTTCTTTTCTCTCACTCCCCCTCCTGTAATATTAATTTCACAAGCAACGAAAAATTAAATTTGATGTATATGGAGTTTGTATTCCTAAAATGTTTTTTAACTTATCAAAGGGCTATTATAAAATATCTCAGAAAGTGCCATGAAAAAGGTTTTTTTCTTCCTTACAAAAAGAGGTTTTTTATGCAGTTTCTTTTTTATTTTAAATTTTATAAAGTTCCAAAATTTGAAGAAATTTGAAATAATATGTGCATCATGATGTCTTTTTAATGATTTCCAATTGTGTTGTCAATATTTCAAATATCGTGACCTTATAATCCACAGCATTATTAAAAAACACTTTATAGAAAGCAAAGAGCATTGTTTTTTTTTTTTTTTTTTTTTTTTTTTTTTTATATAAAATATATTATAATTTAAGTGTGTGTATATATATATATATAGGAATTTCAACAGGTTTAACAAAATAAGAGAGGCAATAGTATACATCAACAATTGGGTTCTAAGTGCTGGTTTGTCTTGATGGGCATTATCATCCTTCTTATTTTTTGAAACAATCTCTGACTACTCTATCTATATGTTATACATATATACAGGGTTATTCAAAAAGAAAGAGCAGATTTCAAACATTTATTTCTTCCAAACTACAAAAGATGGAAACATGATTCTAACGTTAATGGATAGAGAAAAGTTTACAATTATGGTATGCATTCAATGTATGCGTTCAATAACTGCAGATTGTATGGCTTCATGTGCAGACAATGTTTTAGAACTTGCCATACCGTTGGTTGAGGAATTTGAAGTTCTTTGCTTGCTCGCGATGTGGATTTCTTTGGGCTCCTTTCGTAAAGTGTACGAATACGCTTGACATTCTCGTTCGATGTGCGTGGACGTTCCGTGCTTTTCCCTTTGCAGATGCAACCATCTTCTACGAATTTTCGATGCCACTCGTAAATTTTCTTATGATACGGTGGTTGTTTATTAAATTGATGGCGAAATGCTTGCTGAACTGCAACAATGGACTCTAGTTTTGCTAATTCTAGAACACAAAAAGACTTCTGCTGTGGTGTCGCCGCCATTTCACTACAGACTACCAACTGACAAATAATACCAGAACAAACAACAGTGCCAATGTGGCTATGATTGGAACTTTTACCTGTACTAAATTGTACACTTTTTTCTATTCATTAACGTTAGAATCATGTTTCTATCTTTTGTAGTTTGGAAGAAATACATTTTTGCAATCTGCTCTTTCTTTTTGAATAACCCTGTATATAGAGAGAGCTTCAGTTTTTGTAAATGGCACACTGTAATTTTCTCATATTCAGTTTTTTTTTTTTTTTTTTTTTAAGTTTCTTTTTTCATGTAACTGAATTGAGTTTGCTAAAAATGTTACTTTCAGTGGCATTATTAGTCATAGTTAAATATTTTTAATGAATTTAATATTCATGGTACTAAAATAAATAGTAATAATTATACATCTTCTCTTTATCAGCATTCTCAGATTGATAAAATTAGTTTATCTATAATATTAAATGAATTTTATTTTAATGTCAAAAGTATTTTGGCATAGCTCAGTTATAATCCATACAATAAACTTCTGTTATATATATATATCACTTTTTATTAGTGTTTTTTTTTTTTTTTTTTTTTTTAATTTACATTATGAAGTTTTATTAAATGTAAGTACTCTACCAATTAATTGAAGTTTGCACTGATTAATTTTTAGGATTAATTTATTGTTCTGAGGTAATTTTATGTTGCTTAAATATTTGAAAGTAATGCTTAATAATTTCATATTAATAACATTCACTGATGTAATGGGAAACCAAAACCCTGCTGTGTAATTGATTTACTAAGTCACTATAATTATGAAGTTTGATGTAGAAAACTAATGTAGTTGTGGTAATTAAGGTAAAGTTCAAAGTATTTGTCTTTCCGAACCTTTTATTATCAGATAATCTTTAAGAAATACCACTACATAAATTGTTTCATTAGAACTACAGTTTAGTATATTTAGTGTAATTAATTTTTTAAGTTTTTTAGATTTAATGTCTGAAAATTATTGATAAAGTTATTTTAAATTTATACAAAGTCTGTAATCCGGACTCGTCGGGACTTCGGTGATTCCGGATTAAGGGTTTTTCCGGATTATAGATCATCAATTTAAATCTGGTAAGATGGCATGCAGAAATTATACAATTAGAAATATGAAACCTTAATTTCTGAAATAAAGAGCAATTATAATCTAAAGGGTACCAAAATAAAAAAAAAAAAAAAAAAAGCTTAATATTTGTTTACTTTATTTAAACATTTTTTTCAATGTTAGTTGTTTAAGTTGCTTTGTTTTTTGTGCTAAACGCGCATGCATAAGTTCGTGGCTTTGAAGTCCGGATTATAGATCATTCTGGATAATGGACGTCCAGATTACAGACTTTGCACTGTAATATTTCCTGCAGATTTTGTTCTTTTATATGTTTCACCTTTCTATCCCAGCTTTATTAGTAGTATTATCAAAGTAGGTCAAAAATCTTATTAGAAATTCTACTGTAATCTCTAGTAATGATATATGAAATAATAAGGTAGAGGGACCAAAAGTTGATCATGCAGTAGTAATTGATCATTTCAGGGGAAAAGCTTCAAAATAAGGGATATTTTGGTTTGGCGTTCGTGCAGACCTGCTTATAAGACGCTACTGCAGTCTAGTATCACATTTTATCAACTCCCAGTTGATATGCCTATCAGTTAAGTAATGACTGACAGTGAAACTTGTGCTCTCCCAGATCCTGCTAATTCTTGCCGCCTGATTACCATTTTCAGTTAGGGATTGACTTCGGTTTTTGTGTAAGTACAGTGATTTATTTGTATTATTCAATTTGGCAATCAAATATTTATTAAGTGCATGTATTATTGAATAAAATGACCAGAGTCGTAGCTAGGGTGTTCAGCGCCCAGGGACAACTGAAGATTTCGTGCCCCCTACTGCTTCCCAAGGATGGAAAATATTTAATTCTAAAATGTCGTAACATCAGTTTGGCGCCCCTTGGATTCTGCGCCCGAGGACAGATGCCCCCCTTGCCCCTCTCTAGCTACGCCCCTGAAAGTGACCCGTGAGTTATGTGATTTACTCTTTATTTTTAGGTGGTCAACTACTGGAAAGGAAACTTTTTTTCTAAATTATTTATAATAATTTTATACTACAACTTTTTTCGGTAAAAAAGGTCATCACTAGCTAGGTAAGGCAGTTGAAGAAATCCGTTAACTACGAAAAAATTAATTATTGTCTCCACAGCTAATACTGTTGACAAGTGAATGAGAAATTTCCCTTAGCTGGTCAACTACTGGTGCTTTTACTTTAATTTTCCCTTTCCCCATTTAAAAATTAAAAGGTCTTCTTTGCTGACCATACTTAAGAGAAAAAGCATTAACTAAGCCTAGCGTATTATTCTTAAAATCGGTCTTTTAAAACAGTCGGTATAAATTTTGAAAACTTTTAAGCAAATTATATAAATGTCTAGCTAAAGTTAGATTTAACTTTTGTACAAAAATGGCTGAATTAATTTTTGTTCAAAATATAGAAATTTTCCCAGAATTTGTTTGAAAAAGGCTGCTAGATGAATATTAGATTCTACTAATTGGATATCAGTTTTGTAATGCATTAAAAAAAAGAGTCACCAAAGTATTAATAGTTAAATTGAAGGAAACAAGTAGAAGTTTAATATGCATTATTTCTTAGTATCAATAAATCTGACTGTGCAATAATATTTTACAAAAGTTTTTCTTCAATTAGATATCCCAAAACTATGTACAGTCGTATCCATGAATTCAGTATCTGCGGTTTCAGTTATCCATGGTTCTTAACAGAGGAAAAAAGTTCCTTTGAAGTTTCAAACTGAATGCCAAATGATGATCAGCCTGTGACCAAATGTGAAACACAAACAAGCTGAGCATTATATTTGCACAAGATTTATCTACTATATGTACACACATGCACTTTTCTAACTGATGTAACTAAATCGAAGGAGAAAGAAAATGGTCATTTTTGGAACATCCAGTGCATTTCCAGGTTACAGATCATTCTTCCAGAATTGCATTTTTCATAACTGATCTTTCCTGCATAACGGCTGTAAAAATGTTAGCAGTGGCCTTGGTATCGCTAATCAAAGCATCTTTCATATATCCGCAGTAGGTTCTGGAACGAATTACTGCGGGTACAGGGGTATTACTGTATTTGCAATTTGGTTTGCCTTGTTTTTATATTATGATGTCTCTTTAGTTATTTCTAATAAATATATAATTCGTAGTTTTATAGTTTTAAATTGAATAATTTAGCTGTAGCATGTGAGCTTTAATAGCCAGTTAAAAATTTGCTGACTGTATATTTATTTGGCAGTTATTCAACAAGATTTTATGTTTTTATCTTAACTTCTTGACTCAAATCTTAACTAAACATTCATGGAATAAAATATAAATTTCAAATATATATTTTTTCACTTTTTCTAATGCAGAGATAACAATAAATTTTTATTTTGAAATTCATAAAAACAGATTTCAATTTTGCAGGTTTAATGTATTAGTATTTATATCATCCAATAAAAAATATTTCTGATAAGTAAGAGAAAGTTTCTAGGTATGTAATTTAGAGTAATTATTTTCATTTTCATTTTATGCAACTCATCAAGATTTCAGGTGGCAGGAATTCACTGTTTTGAGTTAAATTTATTATTTTTATAATGATTTGCACCTTGTGATGCTTTTCCTGTAAGCTGATTTTTCTTATGAATGCTATTTTCCCGTCTATATTTTAGCACAAAATTAAAATTTTAAACTTAAAATTTGATAATAAATTCGAATACATGTTTATTTTGTGATATTTACATTATTTACAATCTGTTTTGCATTCTGATTTATGTATCACTGCTATTCTGAAATATTAGGTAGGGATTATTATTATGTTTCTTTTTCAGTTGCACATTTTATGATTGAACTCTAGCCTCATATTGCATGCTACTAATAAGTTTATCGGAAACTAATTGGATTATACTAATAAGTATAACTGCAATTATACCTAATAACTATAATTTGCTTGATCACGTTATCATATTCACCATATTTTATATTGAGCTTAACTCTCATTTTATTCATTTGTGGTATATGGCCTTGTAAATGAATAACATCCCTCATAACTCTTCCTTTTTAAGTGGGTAGAAAGTATAAAATCGACAGAGATTAAAAAATATATGTATTACAAGTTTTATCAATTTAAATAATCACAATTGATACATAGTAACACTGTTACTGATATTCAACAAAAATAAGTGAACACATCCCACTAACAACGTAAAGTTCCCT